TGCGTATAAAATTCAAAGAATGCATGATTTTACTTATTAGTTTAAAATATTTAAAATAATATAAAAAAAATGAAATATGCACAATTAGTTAATTACACATGCTTTGAATAAACATGCATATGCTTGTAATGCTTGATCGAACACATTTTCACGCATTTTAGAACATTATTCTCACCACATCTCATGGTCGCAGTAGATGGATGGAACAATCATTTGCCACATGCTCAAGGAACTTCAATTCAATCTCAAGTCTAATCATATCGACTTGATTCCTCAAACGATCATTTCTNACATTTTCACGCATTTTAGATCATTATTCTCACCACATCTCATGGTCGCAGTAGATGGATGGAACTATCATTTGCCACATGCGCAAGGAACTTCAATTCAATCTCACCTCTAATCATATCGACTTGATTCCTCAAACGATCATTTCTTAGTGATACATCAATTTGTATCCATCGCATCTGATCAAGGTACTCTCGATGCCCCGATCCTTGATGTCAATAATCATGTACGCTCGTATAACCAATAAAAACTTAAATTGAAAAAAAAAAAAAAATTAAATGTGCTAGATACACTAAGCCTCTATTTGATGTTTGATAAGTACATTTTACACACTTATCCAAGCTTTTAAATATAGAAATTTAGGAGTTATTTTAATTAATTATGGCCTAATTTTTTGTATATTTCGTTTGTTAGGTGAAACTCGATGATTAAACATAAAATTAGAAGATAGGAACGAAAATTGACAAAAAAGGAAGGAATCAAAAGTTGAGGGACTAAATTGTAAATGTACATTAGTTGATTTGGACCACAAAACATTGATTGAATATCACGGGAGATCAATTGGATGGAATTAGAAGTAAAAAATGAGTGAAGCATTGAAATATAATCAATGTATTTTCACCAATCTAGATTCTCAGTCGAATATTGAGACCCATTTTTAGAATAGTAAATATTTGAATTGAAAAAAAAAATCTATTTCTATAAAATTGTAGTCCTTTAAGTTAGATTTTCAATTCAATTTAAATCGCCTCATAGGATATTGAAAGATGAAATTATGATAAAAATACCGATAACTACTCAGAGATATAATCACGCGCGACATGAATGCAATTTTCCTTATTTTATTGGAACTCTTTTAAAATCTGATTTGAACGTGATTCTTGACTTAATTTCACCCTTTATATATAAAAAAACGTGGGCAATCATTGAAGATACCTCTCATACACCATTATTAATCAATTACATCAATTAAAAAGAAACAAACTCATTAATCTTGTGAGAAAATTAAAGGCAATTTCATCATCAAATTGAAGATTCAACTTTGATTTTTGAAACGGATTAATAAGGAAGATTGAGGTCTTATCGACCATTTCATCTTAATTTACAAAAACTCCATAATTTACTTACTAGAATAAATAAATAAATAAATTTAATCAATTAATTAATTAGTATGATTTCTTCAAAATTTATTTCCAGTCACACATTCTTTCAATAAAAGAATTTTACATGTAGATTCATAATATTTAAGCTTTTTCTTTGTAAAATATGTCTAATCTACCCGAGAACCTACTCGTTGAATTGTATATGAAGATATGTGTTTATAGCCCTAAGAATTAGGTCATAACTCATTCCCTAATTGCTTTCCAAGTAAATATTGAATGAAATTAGAAACCAAAATCGTTGCAAAACCCATGCAATCACATGGCAGATACCAGTGTGATCACAATATTATACTACTTGATGGTGATGTTCATCCTCTTGCGATCATAAGGTACTAATTTCCGATTTCCATTTAACTTGATCCCTGGAATTCTCCTTTTTTTCAACTCGAGTCTTTCCTATTTGTATCCTTGTCCTTCATCTTTAAATCTTTACAATTCAATCCTTATTCTCTATAATATTCGTAATTGATCCATTAAAGTTTTGAAAGTTTGCAATTGAGTCCCCAAAATTTTGAAATATTGAATTTAGCTCCCAGAACTTGTGATTTTTTTTTTTCGAATTATTCTCTTAATTCTTCTAATTGATCACATGCAATCCAACTGATCTTCAATTGCTCCGAATCAACTTCAATTACGCTAAAAATGCCTTTATTCACGTCAATTGCATCCAAGTTCATATTTTATCTACAATTGATATAACTTACACATATCCGCTCAATGTACAATGAATAATCAAGATTAGAAGCTCAAAGATACACTTATCATCTACCTTTTTCCCTTTCATAATTGCAATTATAAAAACATTGGGCTTCTTGTTCTTTGCTTGATCTAGAAGCCTTATTTAGTATCAGACTTGCTTTGTATGTCATTAAAGTGGATCAAGCCCATTAACAGATTGAAATGTAGGAACAATTCACAAATATATTTAAAAAATTGACTGATTTCAAACTTAAAGTTTTTAGTCTCAAAAGGCTATTTTATTTATTTATTTATTTTTAATTTAACCGTTTTTACATAAATTTTGTAACACATTACGTTACATTATTACACAACATGATTCCGCTGCTGCACTAATAGGAATAAATTGTGTTACATTTGTAACACTCAATCCATCCATAGTCGTCTCTGCCATAACAACATTACCTTATTACGCTCATTACCACTGCAACAACCACTCATAATTTGTTACAGCGTTACCATCGCGGCCATGACTTAAAACATTAATTATTACAACGTAGCCACTACTTGTAACATTTACTATTACACCACCTTCATCGCAATCTACACCATTTGCCACCATCATCACCATACGCGCCACCACTTCCGGATCTTTACATTCTCATGACCTTGTTACACTCATTGATACCACAACAACGCATAGTTTGTTACACTGCTACCATCGCCGCCATGACTAGCAACACTAATTATTACACCATCTCCACCACTTATAACATTTACTATTACACCACCATAGACCATCTCCATTGCAATCTGCACCACATGCCACCATAGTCACCATGTGCAACACCACCTCTAGATCTTTACATCGCCATCATTAATGCCACTACCAAGCCAACACATCTAAAGCCACAAAAAACACCACCGCTAGAAACCACCTTTCCAAATCCACATACCAAGTAA